CAGGCTGGTCTTGAACTCGCAACGATCCTCCTGCCTCAGCCTCCAGACTGCTGGGATTACAGACGCGCGCCACCATGCCTGGTCATATCTTGTCTTTAAAAAAACAAAAAAGGCTAAGTACTGGTGACCTGTAAGGGGAAAGACAAGGAGCACCGCAGGAATATCTGAGGGTAGGGGCGGAGCCCTCCAGGAGGGGACAGCCAGTGCAAAGCCCTGGAGTGGGGAACCAAGTCGCCCGGTTTGAGGAGCAAAAGGGGCTGACCTCCTGATACAGTGATCCAGCACCAGGGGGCGGTAGAACCTGCAGCAGCGCTCTGGCACCCTTCGGAAATTGCACAGTAGGCCTCTCACTCCGGGAGGCGGGGAAGCTGGACCACCTCCCCCAGGGCTGAGCAGTGCTCTGCGTCCTCACTGGACCTGTGGGACTCCTGTGCTCTGTTCAGAGGAGAGGGGCAGAAGTAGTGGTCCCAAGAGCTTCAGACACGTCTGTCCTCAGTGCACTATCAGGGAGGAACCACTCACTGTTCGTGTTTTACAGAGAAGATGGAGACCAGAAAGGTTGGTCCAGTACCTAAGGTTGTAAACTTAGTAGAAGTACCAAACTGGGAACGATGATGCACACCTCTAATCTCAGCACTTTGGGAGGCTGAGGCAGGAGGATGGCAAGTTTGAGCCAACCCCAGGCAACTTAGTGACTTAGTGAGACCCTTATCTCAAGATAAAAAATAAAAAGGTCTGGGATAGGGGCTGGGGATTTAGCTCAGCGGCAAAGCGCCTGCCTGGCAAGCGCAAGTTCGTGAGTTCGGTTCCCGGTACCGGATAAAAAAAAAAAAAAAAAAAAAAAAAAAAACCAAAAGGTCTGGGATATAGTTCAGTACCAAGGCCCTGGGTTCAGTCCCTAGGACCACAAAACAAAAACTACTGTACTATAGTAGAAGCACCAGCCTCCAATCCGGCATGAGTGTGTGTGTGACATGGCCAGCATGTACGTCATGTGCACACGTGGACACCCACTTGTGGGGCTGTCAGAGCCCTGATGGCACTGGACTCCAGTTGTGCCCCTTCCTCCAAGTCCCTGGTGCTAGTGGGTCACGCAGTAGTGGGTCCTTGTCCAGTTTTGTTGGGAGACAACTGGACTCTGGGTGAGGGCCTAGGGCGCAGATGTGCCTGAGTAGAAATGTACAGGGGCTTTTTTCTCTTCTTTTTCTTTTTGTGGTACTGAGGAGCAAACCCAGGGCTTTGTGCATGCTCCACCATGAGCTACTCCCCCAGCCCTCCCTTTATTTTTTATATTTATTTATTTTAAATTTTGAGACAAGATCTCAGGTTATCCAGGTTGGTCTCAAACTTGCCATCCCCCTAGCTCAGCCTCCTCAGTGCCTGGGATTACAGGTGTGTGCCCCGTGTCTGGCTAGGGTCTCTGTCTGGCTGCCACATGAGGTATTGCTGCTACAGGCTAAGCGTGAGGTGGCTGTTCTGGACGAAATCCCCGGCCTGTGTGTATAGGGGTGGAGCGCTTCCCTGAAGCAGACCCTGTGTTGGTGGAGCTCTCGGTTGAGCTAAGTCGCCAGGTAGATAGTCCAGGCTGGTGGTGGCGAACCTACGACACCTGTGCGGCCGTGGGCTGGTTGTTATCACTGCAGGCTCCAAAAGGGTCACCAGCTCTGGTCTAGGTTGACCCGTGCATGTCACTCTGCCCCTTCTCAGGGCTGAGAGCTGCCCCCTCTAAATATAGCCCAGTGGGCTGAGCCCAGGCTTATTTTAAGCCCAGGTTGGGAGGTCGCCAGGCCTTCCCAGCTCCCAGAGGAGCCACTGCGGCCTTGTTCACGCCTGCTCCTGGGCACCCTCATCAGCCCCGACTGCACTTGCCATGCCTGAGGAGATCCGGGAAGGTAGGAGAGGGTGAGCAGGAGGGCGGGCAAGGCCCCAGTCCTGTGACCTTGTGAATCGCAGAGACCCAGTCTCTGTGCCATCAACTTGACTGTCTTTTCTAGTCATCAATACTCACGTCCCATCTCCAGAAAGGGACCTACCGCTGTGCATGGAGGCAGAGCCTAGCATACGTGGAGCCCTGCTCCACCTCAGGCTATGCCTGTTTGCCCTGCTGTGGCATCAGGAGGGACTGGGGGAAGCACCCCACTTTGGGAGTGGGTCAGCTACAGGCCGTGACCAAGAGGGTATGGGCATTTGGACAGCTGCTTGGCCATTTCGTTCTTTCTCTTGTCAGTACTGGGGACTGACCTGGAAGAGCGCTGACCTGTATCTCCAGTCCTTTTCATGTTTGAGACAGGGTCTCAATAAAGTGCTCAGGCTGGACTCAGACTTGTGATCTCCTGCTTAACCCTCCCAAGCAGCTGAGATTACAGGCATGCACCACCTGGCCTTGACTCTTCCCCTCAGGGAGGAAAGTAGGAATGGGGTTGGGCGTTGGGGCACCTGGCCTGAGAACTGAGAAATAGGCAGAGTCCTGTCCTCTTGACCAGCCGCAGCTGGTCAAGAGCAGGGTGGCTAACCACGTACCTGTTCCACTGTATACAGTGAGCTCCAAGTTAGGCCTGGTGGCACACACCTGTAGTCCTGCCCTCTCTCTGGGAGCCCACTCTGGGAAACTAAGAAACTAAGAATGTGTCTCAAAAAAATAAAAAATAGGGGCTGGGGATTTAGCTCAGCGGCAAAAGCGCCTGCCTGGCAAGCGCAAGGTTGTGAGTTTGGTTCCCAGTACCGGAGAAAAACCAAAAAAAAAAAAACAAATAAACAAAATAATAAAAAATAAAAAAGAGGGGGGTGGGCAGGGATATAGCTCTGCAGCACAGCGCCTACCTGGCAAGCATCAGGTCAGGAGTTCAATTCCCAGTACCAAAAAATTAAATTAAATTTAAAAAGGGCTGAGGATATAGCTCAGCACCAAAACAAAGAAAAAACAAACCTGAGTAAAGCACAATAGAGTAGAGAGAGTTCTTTTTGAAAGAGGAAATTTAATATGATATGACCTTCAACCTACCAAACAGCTTAAGGACTAGCAGCTTTTTTTTAAGCATCTGTTTTTATTTGACCTGCTCTTGAGGATGCCAAGGCAACAGCTTCAAACAGTTTATGAAGGTCGAGTTACGGTCCTGAGAGTGCCACGGGTGTGCTTCTGTCAGGAAATATGCCCTGGTTTCCTCCCCACTGTAACCTAGGTCCACGTGGGCACCTGGAGCTCTTACTGGGCCAAGACTTACTTTTTCTTTCTTTCTCTTTCTTTCTTTCTTTCTTTCTTTTCTTTCTTTTCTTTCTTTTCTTTCTTTTCTTTCTTTTCTTTCTTTTCTTTCTTTTCTTTCTTTCTTTCTTTCTTTCTTTCTTTCTTTCTTTCTTTCTTTCTTTTCTTTCGTGTCTTTTGTCTTTTGTTCTGGTACCAGGAATTGAACTCACAACTTTGAGCTTGCCAGGCAGGCGCTTTGCCACTGAGCTAAATCCCCAGGCCCTGGGCCAAGATTTTAAAAAATCAAGTTGAAGAACACCAGAAAAAAATATAATTAAATATTTATAAACCAATCAGATGTGGTGTATGCCTAGCATCCCAGGACTCAGGAGGCTGAGGCAGGAGGGTTACTGTTTGAAGCCAACCTGAGCTATATAGTTTTATTTTATTTTTATTTTTTATTTTTTTGGTTTTTCTCCGGTACCAGGAACCGAACTCACGACCTTGCACTTGCCAGGCGGGTGCTTTTGCCGCTGAGCTAAATCCTCAGCCCCGAGCTATATAGTTTTAGACCAGCCTAAACTGCATAATGGGACCCTGTCTGAAAAAAAAAAAGAAAATATTTTGATGGAGCGCCAGGCATGGTGGCGCACGCCTCTAATCCCAGCACTCGGGAGGCTGGGGCAGGAGGATCGCTGCGAGTTCAAGACCAGCCTGGGCTACAAAGTGAGCTCATGGCCAGCCTGAACTGCATAGTGAGACCCAACCCAAAAAGAAAAAAAAAACTGATGGTACCCCTAAGGCTGTGGTGGGAAGATCACTGGAGCCCAGGAGGTTGAGACCAGACCGGGGAGCTTAAGTGAGGCCCTCATTTCAAAAAAACAAAAATAACTTTGAAATGAATAATTAAAACCACAGGGAAAGTACACTGAATAGGGAGCAAATGGGTAATTAAGCCATATATACATTGTTCAAGCTCCCTAGGCGACCAAACCAAATCCAATCAACCATGAAAGGTTATTTTAACAGTATGATGCTGCACATCTGCAAATCCAGGTACTCTGGAGCCTAGGGCAGGAGGACCGCAAGTTCAAGGCCAGCCTGAGCAACTTACTGAGACCATGTGTCAAAAGTGGACCGTGTAGGGGCTGGGGATTTAGCTCAGCGGCACAGCGCCCGCCTGGCAAGCGCAAGGTCGTGAATTCGATTCCTGGTACCGGGGGAAAAAAAAAAAAAGTGGAAAGTGTTGGGGATGTACCTCAGCACACTGGTTCAGTTCCCAGTGGCAGCTGGGCATGGTGTTACATGCCTGTAATCTCAGCACTTGGGCAGTTGAGGCAGGAGGATCACCATGAGTTCAAAACCAGCCTACGAAGTGTGATGCTGTCTCAAAAAAAACCCCAAAAACAAAATAAAAAGCCCTAGTACCACTAAAAAATTTTTTTAAACTTCTCTGACTGGCAAATACATATACAAATGTGTGAATATAAACTGTTTCTCATCCCAGCGTGGTGAGGCACCATTACAGGGAGTTCAAGGCCAATTTGGGCTACACAGTAAGCTCAAGGTGGGCCAGGACCCTGCTCCCTGCTCAAAAACATTCCTCCGTGGGGGTACCTCATGATGGCGACATTGTACCCCACTGAGGGTTGTACACACACTTCTCAAGGACAATCTGGTGAGTTTTAACCTTGCTCTTGGATTGAGCAAGTCCGTGTCTTGGAACTGTCCCTAGTGACTATTGAGAAATTGTGAAAAACTTCATACCCAATGATGGATGTCCTCAGGGCGAATTTCCAAAGGGAACTGGAAATAACCTAAATGTCCAGGAAGCCTCAGAGGGCTGTAGGGGAACCCTTTACAAAAGCCCCTACTACCTGAGGCTACCTGGGAGCAAAGAAGGGGAGACTGGCCTGCTGAACGAGCCCCACCACCCCTACAGACACTGCGGCAGCAACACAGAGCCAGAAATCTACAGGGCCGCTGGCCCCCAGCCTCGTGCCTGAAGTGCGGCTACACCGCGTGGAGTCCATCAGCGAGCTACACGGTGAAGGTGAGGGGTGCAGGATGTGCTGGGCAGGGGGCAGCCTGGCACCCCCTTGACGGCCCCCCTACTCCGCAGGCTTGACACACCCGTATCTGGCTGAAGAGGCACGGCCATGGGACGAGCTGCTGGGTGTCTTGCCACCATCGCTGTGTGCCCAGGCTGGCTGCAGTGCCGTGTGTGGCCGTGGCGGGTTCCTCCTGCTGCTGGTGCTGCTAGTGCTCACCTGCCTGGCACTCGCCATCCTGGCGGTCTACCTGAGCGGTAGGGACAGGCAGGGCAGGTCGGGACCAGCAGGGACTGGGAGGCCCTTGGGAAGGAGCAGCTGCTGCAGCTGTGAAGGGCGGGGGTCAGAGGGCAGCCCGCTGCTGGGTTGTGGAGGTCTGCGGCAGCCTGTGATCTAACAAGGTCCCAACACCTGCCCACCCCCAGTGCTGCAGAGTGAATCCTTGCGGGTCCTGGCACACACGCTGCGCACCCAGGAGGAGATGCTGCTCAAGCTCCGACTGGCCAGCCTCAGCCAGCTGCGCAGATTCAACTCCAGTGGCGCCCGGGCCCCTAGCTGACTCTACCTGACCTGGGGCACAGGGGGTGTGAGGGGAATAAAGCAGCTGTCGGCAGACCTCCGCTCCCACTGCTGGTCTGCATGACTTCCTTGTTGAGATTTTTGTAGAAGAGACTGACGTGACTTCACGGTCACCTACCTCTCCTGATCTCTTCAGGCCAGGCCTCGCCAAGCCTTCTGGTACTAGGTAAGCCCTTATGGGCTGGCCCAAGGTCAAAGGAGGGAGCCCCAGCCTCCTGGCTCCTCCTGTGGCCTGTCAGCATCCCCGGAGCACCCCCAGATAGCAGAGTAACAAGTCTAGAAACAGCTGTCTCACCGCAGCCACCTACTCTGCCAGACCTCTCAGCAGGAGTTCAGCCTCACGTCTCAAAGACAGGCTGGGCTCTGAGCTGGGGAGGCCCTACCCCAGCCCAGGGCACACTGCCTTGGAGGGCAGAGGTGAGATTCCAGCCTGTGTCCTGGATGGAAGGGAATGTGGGCAGAAACACCCAGGAGTCAGGACCACGGAGGCAGAACATTATACTCTATTTAATTATCTCTTACATCTTTAAAAATCAACACAAAAGTCCTTTCCAGGTAGCTCTGCCTCCCCACTTGCCATGGTGGCATCTGTGTAGATGCCAATACCCCAAAGAACTGGGTCACTCCAAAGGAGCGCGGAAGGAAGGGACGGCCCCCTACTGCCTGCCCCACAGCCCTGAGACAGGTGTCCACTTGGGCCTGCCTGAAATAGGGCAGGAATAAGCCACAGGGCTGAGTGCAGGGATAAAGGGCAGGGTCCCTCACGCCATTCAGCCACCCTGTTTTTGGTTTTGTCTTTAAGAAAAATAAAGTGACAATCACTGGCAGAGACCAGTTCTTGCACTGTCTTCTGTTAAAAATATGGGCAGGGGTGTGGACAGTTTTGTCTTCAGCTGGCCCACTTCACAGGACATCTGCCCGCTTGTCCCGCACACGGCTTCGAGCCTTGGTCCGGGCTTTGAAGGCAGCAGCATTGTACAGGTGCTGGGTGGAGAAAAGGGTGGAATCTGGCGAACGGGGAAGAAAGCCTGGGGCTCCTCCTGCAGCCCTCGCAGAGCCCTTGCAGAGCCAGGAAACGGCAATGGAAGGGAGATAAAGGTGTTCAAGGGTGCAAACCTTCTCAAAACGTGAAACTTTACAGGCCTTCAGAGCAGCGGCATCCAGCACCAGCACAGGGCCCAAGCCGAAGATGTCCCGGAGCAGCTCATTATTCTGGGGACAGAGACGGCAATGAACCCTGTCCCGTCCAAAGCAGCCGAACTGGGAAGCCCTCCCGCGCATCCCCCACCTGCAGGTGGTGGTGCATGCCCGAGCCCAGCACGTCCTTGAAGGCAGCGTAGACCCGGTGCCGAGCCCAGCTGTCCACATACAGCGTTTCCAGTCCAAAGCGGATCGTCTCTTCCTCACATTCACCACCCTGCAGGGTAGAGGGCCCACAGCTGGGCTTGGCCGCCAGGCCTGGGGCTGCACGCTTGCTAGGACAAACACATTCCCACACACACCTCAACGAAGTGCAGCACGGCGCGGAAAGTGGAGCGCTGGCGCCGGCGGTCGGCTTTGGCACGGTACTTGTTGCTGTCCGTGGCGAGAGTGTGCAGGGCACTGCACAGGGCCTCCATGTCCTCGTACACGAAGTCCTCCTGTGTGCGGGCAGCGGAGGCAGGAGGCAGAAGCTTGAGCTCTGCTGACTCTCAGCACGGCTGCCCAAAGCCTGCCTTCCCTAACAGCTCTCCTCTCCTGTCCGGCTCCTCTCATCCCCGCTGGCTTCCACCTGCACAGGACACCTCTGCTCGAGCCCCCACCACAAGACCTCGCACGAGTCAGTGCTGGGGCCGCCTCTCCTACACAATGACCCGGGACTGCTCCGCATTCCGTGGCACGCTCTCTGCATCCAGCCTGGGATGGGCAGTAGCACCAGCAGGCACCCCCCTACCATCCTTGCACCTCAAGGTCCCGGGCGAGCTCAAAGAGTAGTGCGATGGTTTCACCAGCAGCAATCCGCAGGTTCACACTCTCACTGGACAAGAGCTGGGGCAGCTGGGACAGTTGCCTGGAGAAGGGGCAGGCTAAGCTCCTCGTGGGGGCTGGGAGCCCCTTCACGATCACCTCCCACTCCTCGTGGGCAGCTGCCCTCACCTGTCAAGGATGTGGCTGATGTGGGTGCTGGGGCAGAGAGTGAGCAACAACGCCCAGGCCTGCAGGGCAGCACAGAGCAGGCCCTGCAGGCTGGCAGGGGCCACGGGAGCTGTTGAGCCATCTGTGCCACAGGGCTGGCTGAAAACACCTTCTAAGCAGGTGAGGCAAGAGACCAGGTCCTAAGAGCACAGGGGGGCAGGGGAATGGCTCAGGCTCACAGCTAGGGGCCCAGGTGCCCCACCGTCCGTGTCCACAGGCCACTCACCTGGACATCGGCAGCAGCCACGTAGCACCCCAAGCCAAGAGTAGAAGCACACTGTTGGGAGGACAAAGCTAGACCATGATCGGAGGTCCGCCAGGGTTCCCAGTCAGGGGTCTCACCCCACCCCCCTCAGGGTAGGGAGCCTGAAGACAGGTGGAGCCCACCACCCTGCTTAGGGGTAAGGGAGAGGAAGGGTTTCACAGGGCATGGAAATACTCACGTGAAGCCGGGCGGCGGGGCTAGCTGTGCCGTCGCTGAGCACGGAGACTAGCAGGGGCTGCAGGCTGTGGAACAGCTCCTCGCCCTTGGGTCCAGGGCCCAGCTGCACACAGAGCAGGCCTAGCACGGCAGCAGCCAGGGCCTGCTCGTCACCCTTCCCTGCAGGACGCGTTCCAGTCAGCCCGCGCAGCAAGGGTCAGCACCTGCCCAGTTAAGATCCTCCACACACCCCAAGGCCTGACCTTTCTTGAGGCACTTTTCCAAGGCATCAGCCAGAGTGAGGCAGCGCTCCAGCAAAAAGTCAGGGAGCAGGTGGGAAGCCAGGGCCAGGCGCAGGCTCTCCAGAGCTCCTTGCCGGGTCTTGGCACTAAGGGTAGAGAGGGAGGTCATGTGGGCCAGCTCTCCCTTGGTCACACCTGGTGTGGGTTGAGCAAAGCCCTGGAGAGAGGAGCAGGCTGGCAGCCAGGGGTACCTCTTGTTTGTGAGGCAGTCCACACACTCCTTTAGCTTTTCTTCGAGATCTTCCTGTTGGCCCTGCTCATCCACAGCATCCCCCCCTGCAAGGCCGGCAGATCAGCACTGCTTCTTGCCCTCACCCAGTGGAGCCCTTGCTCAGCCCCTGCCAGCTGGCTACTTGCTCTTACCTAGGCTATCCTCCGCTGTGGTGCTGAGAAGACTGGGACACTCGCTGGTGGTACTGCGGGCCTCGCTGGCCGCATCATCCTCACTGGAACCTGAGTCAGCTTGGGCACTGCACCGGGCACCTAGGGAGTGCATGTTCAGTTACTCAGCCGGCTTCCACTGATAAGGGGTGGCTGGGGGTACTACCCTCAACCTCCCCACCCCACAAAACAGAACCATGCCCTCTTCTCTGAGACAAAACCAAAGCTGAAGTAGGCACTGCAGTGGGCTGATGCAGGGACCTAAGCCAGGAAGCAGGAAAAAGGGAAGGAGGTCCACATGCCAGAGGGCATTCGTTAGGTAGCAGGCCTGGCCTATGGTACCTGGCAGGCTTGGTGGGCAGTCCCTTTCTAAGGCCAGAAACTATTTTAAGTAGGAGACTAGGAGCTAGTAAAGGTAGAGAGCGGGGAGAAAAGGTCAAAGGGAGGGGCTGCAGTTGTTCCACGAGGTCTGTGGCCTGGCCTGCATTATACCCCAAAGCAGGCAATGCAAGGATCAGGAATTAGCTACAGAGTTCAGCAGATGTGGGATTTAAACCCCAACTCTACATTTTTTTCCCCAGCACTGGATATTACACCCAGGGGCTCACGTGAGCATGCTAGGCAAGCACTCTGCCACTGGGCTATATCCATCTCAGTCTCCATTCCTCATTTAACAGCCTGCCTTGAACTTGTGGCAATCCTCCTGCCTCAGCCACCCAAGTGCTGGGATTGCAGGTGTGCACTATCTCACCAGGCCAAGGCCTCCATTTCTTTATATGCAACACAGAGATGGAGAAGTACCTCTTTCAGGGGCAGCAGGCGAAAACAAATGACTTGCTACGGCTTTACTTCAGGCCAACAAACTCATCAAGCCACCTATCAGCCCTTGGGATAGAAGCCCAGTTCCCACTGGGTATGCTGGGAACCCTGTGTTTTAAGTATATTGTCTTCTGAGCTTCCCCTGATCCATCCAAGCTGTCAGCTCTAGGTGGACAGGTTCCTTCCGACCCTAAAGAGTCTCTGACCATATGAGCCCCTAATATGGGCTCATATGGGAACACAGGGCCGTTTCAGGGCTGCAGGCCCAGAGCACACTGGTGTGTGGGTGCTGTCCAGGGCCAAGGGTGGACTTTGCAAACCTGGCTACTATGGTGGAGCCCCTGACAGTTTCTCATCACCAGGCCGGCCTTCCCGCTCAGGAACGACTCGCACTTCCTGCCCGCAGGAAAAAGTCTAGCCAGCACAACGGCCTCGGCTCACTTCCTCTTACTATCCTACCTGCTAAAGCTGCCAAGCTCCCCCCATGGTGCACAGCGCTGCAGTCCCTTGCAGTGCAGCCACCCGGCTTTCCCACATGTTCTCTTCGCACGGGGTTCTCTGCACCTTCGCAGGACTCTCCCGGATGCCCTTCCCATGCGGTCACCCAGGTTCCTGAGAATAGTTTCGGGGAAACTATGGGCATAGTTTCAGGACCAGTGTATTCTGTTGTCACTACTCTATTAAATGTCACCCCCTCCCCATTAGGGCAAAGCGGTGCCTGGCTCTGACGCCATCCCAGCAGAGTAAACATGTGTGTTTACTGCAAAAAAAAAAAAAACCAGGCTCCTGGTTGAGACTGATAACAGAGCACCAAGACCGGCTCCGCTCCAGGGTATTCATGCGCAAGCCCACAACCGCCACGGCCCCCATGCTGTGCCTTCTCGATCCCGCACCTCCCTCGGTTCTTCCCAGCAGGGAGGCCTCCTGACAACTTCCCTGCCTAGTCTACCAAAGGTCCTGGCAAGGGGACCGACCTCCTACTCTGACCAGGGGTTTTCCCACCGGAATAAGCAACTGGGGTGGAGGGGCGATGGGGAAGCCGAAGCCCGGGGGCGCGGGCCGGGTCGCGCTTCTGGTTCCGCGCTGCTTCCCTAGGTCCGGGAAGCCGACACGCGGCGGGCAACTTGCTCAAGTTGGTGCACACGTGGCCAAGGCGGGCGGGAGCACGTGCTGGCTACGGCAGCTTCGCGGGACCGCGCCGGGCTGGCCGCGGGGGGCGTCCCCACGCCAGCACCCTCGGGGACACGCGGGGCCCGCACCGCACCCCTGCTCGCCGCAGGACGG